CCTTTCCCCTCCCCTCTTCCCTCCCCCCGCCCCAACACACACAACAATACATGCATTGCAAATGACAAGGTTTAAAAACAGCATTTTATATAGTATCTTTTTAAATAGGATAATGTTTAAATTGTCTTAAATCAGGATCCTATAATATACAAGTATAACCAAATAATTTCCACCACATTGGCACTTGTAAAGAGTCTCTGGCACTACTAAAGAAGGGGCATTGGCACAAACCATACTCTTATAAAACTGGGTGCTGCGTAACACACTTTATCTCTGCTGGACTCTAACAACCTGGGCTCTGTACAGTACAATACAATGGTCAGCACACTCCGGAAGTACTTAAAAAAAATCCAATAAAACACATGAAGAAAAAAAATAGTTGAACGCAAGGCCAACAGTGCTAGGAAGCAACAACAAGAGACCAAAGAATCCAACTCTGGGAGGAGGGGAGACAGGTAGAAAGGGCATGAGCTATCTTGACACACTGAAGCAGGAAGGGGCTGTAGCCAATCCACACAGAACGGTGCAAATAAACGGGATGGTCTTCTCCACACCGGCTTCAAGTTTCAAACTGATTCAGAAGTACGCTGGTTTCTTCAGCAGAACAAAGATAAAAAGTGCACAAGGAGCAGAGGTTAGCCAAGAGACCACTTCCTCAGACTCAAGATCCTAGATTCTCGGTAAGAACCCAATTCCACCTCTTTTCTGAAGGTCAATCTGTTGCCTCAACCTGCAGAAAACTGACTGGCCTCTCTTTCAGAAAAGATGATATAGGCAAATTTGGTTTAAGGTTTGGCACTTTTGCTAGGGTACATATTTGCTGAAGGGCCAGCCAACAGAGACATGAACCAGTTCTGCAGGAATGCTTCACTGGCCCAGCTGGAGGCACACAAGCTACTGCTTGCTAAGAAAAGCACACACTAATAACACTGCTATCTTCTCACAAATAACACAGTCCACAGACAACTCCAGATTATGTGTACAAGTCTGACCCATTCCTCCCCTAAATCAGAATGAGCTTCCAGGAGCTCATGAGACAGCCAACGCCTACTGTTCTCCCCTTCCTGTTGCCATAAGCAACACACCAAATCAGTTATCAGGCCAACAGCTTCACCAAGCAGTTCTCAGGACAGTACAGCACGTCTCAGCTCTTGTGCCTGTGGCCTCCTGCAGCTGTCCACGACAAAGCAGAGTCACTCTCTAAGAGACAGAAGCCAAGATCCCTCCTCCTGTGCCAGGGCAGAAGCTCTTAAAGACGGGGAGGATACAAAACAAAAAATTTCTGATTCAAGTGGAAGTACCACCATCATTCACCTTGGAAAAAAAAAACCACAACAACAAACTTCTGGGAAGTTATTTCCAAGAATCTGTATATCTCAGTGCCAGGTCCATTGGTGGCAATAGTTGTAGTGTGAACCATTTACAAGAGGATCACAGAAGCAGAAGAGGCTGGTGCTGCCACCTGCTTCAGATGAACAGCACTTAGAATACACAATGATTATAAATCCCTCTTTATAGGACGGTTTCTACAAAATGGATCATTTTGGCATAAAGACAAAAAAAAGCAGTAAAATTGATGCAAAGCTGTCTGACACATGGGAATCCCTCTCATTCCTCCCAAGTGTTAAATGCAGTCCAGAGCATAGCTAGTCTAAAGAGATGCTGTGTTTCCCTCAGCATCACCACTCAGCCAGGCTGGCTGTTCAACTGTTGGTCCCATGGCTACTCTTCCAGCTTAAGCTCTCTATTCACTCTTAGCAGAGCCTGCTTTTTTCTGTAGTGCTCTGAGACATACAGAGGCTTCCCTCAGCTATTCTGGAAAACAAGAGGGATCTATAAATAGAATTACTCAAAATTATGTCCCTCCATACTTTATAGTGTTCTAGATCAAAGCATCTTAAGCATCTCAGACAGTTAAGATTCACCCTTACATGTTGTGCAAAAACACTGATGTAGTGCTCTGTCTACAAAAGAGACAAATATCAACAGCCCCCTTCAACAGTGCAGCTCATTTAGTCTTTATCTACTGGCAGCCTGCTAGCCTTCATGGGGGCAATCTGGTCCATCCAGACAATTTGGACCCAATGCTACTTGTTGGAATAGAAACAGAAGCATTAGTGATGGCTAAACGACACATGTTCAGAGGTGGGTCAGATTTCCCTGCTTCCTACTCACTCCTTGCCTTGCCACTGCAGTTATCTCCCAGGCCAGCAACACGTCTTCAGCACAGTTGTTCCCTTGCCTCAGCTCCTGGAAAAAGCTCTAATGTGCAAAGGCTTCACATCCTTCTGCTTAGTGGAGTTTCATTTGGCATCTAGAATCCAGAACTACTTCCACTCTACCTTCCACCTGTACCAGCAAACCCTGCTGTCTCTGCCCTGACTCTCCTGCTAACCCAAAGTGCAACCACAGCAGGGCCCCTGGATTCTGTAGCAGCCACGTGCTCCAGCCAGGACCACTGCAACCTGATTATCACGTGGATCCTGGAGCAAGTGTGTGTGCAAGTCTTCCACAGAGGATCCACACTCCTCTAAAGAGGAACACAGCAGCATGTGCCTCAGGGGAATGCATCAACTGGAGGGAGAACTACCACTCTCTCCAAGAGCTATCCTCAGTCTTTGCAAGAATCCTATCTATGTCCCAGATCTTTTCACCACCAACTCTGGTCCTTCCTAAAAATCTGCAAGCAGAACAGGACCAAGGAAATAATTCAACACACTAGCACAAAATGCAATAAAAAAGGCTTTTTTGCTACTAGCAGCAAGAAAGAAACTAGAGGGTGGCACGAGACTAAGATTTTCCATCCAGCCGAAGTCTGATATTTAAATGCCACAATTGCCCAGTGTGCTTTTCATATCTGCTGCATAGAGAAGTTGCTCACTTGATCTCAACAAAACAAAAGTTTCTCTCTGCAAATTGAGCCTTGTGGTGTTGGAAGGATGTGTGCATGCGTGTGAAAAAAATAAAAACAAAATAAAATTAAAAAAGAAGAATTACAGTCAGGCACTTCCCCAGGCTCAGCAGCTATTGCTCCAAGAGCTTCCATCATCTGTAGTCCATGAACAAAATACAGCCACACGTAGCAAACTATGTATAGAACATCAATAATTTAAAAAATAAAATAAAATCACAGTCTCCATACCTCTTATAATTGATAAGAAAAAAATAACTCATAACTAAACATATAAAGAATGGAAAAGTGATGGCTTTTTTGTTTTGTTTTGCCTTTTTCCTTTTTTTTTTTTTTGCACAACAGTTGGAAAGCAATTGCTCCTCCCCAACATTTCATCACAGTGAACCATGGAGCATGTCCTGGGGAAGGGAAAGCAGGGGGTGGGCAGGGGGGAAATAAAAAGCAAGCAGGGTTAGCAAATTACACCAGAGGCACCCCCACAGCACACGGCAAAGGGACCAGTAGCATTCTGCACTCCCACAGTCCAGTGAATTCACAATCTCAGCTGGAAAGTTATTTTTTTCTATATATACCATGGGAATGAAAAGGGGGGGAAAAAAGTGGCTAAGCAACAAAGGAAAGCTAAAGATGAGACTGCCTTAGCTATTTGGCAAAAATTAAGAAGTAAGCAAGGTGCTGAAGACATGAGGCATATCCCCGTTAACTGTGAAATAAAAGCAATTTGTTAAAAATACGAAATCAACTACTCTGTGGACAGAGACATGAGACTCCAGGATAACACTGAGCACTTGCCACTCCACAGATCAGACAATTTGCAATCATTACATCATCAAAAATTAAAACTTTTTTTCCTGTCATATTTAAAATTTCTTTTTTTTTTTTCTCTTTTCTTCACAATGAAGCTACTCAAGGGGCCAAGAGCAGAGCAGGTCAAACCAGGTTGTACTCCTTCAGGTTGAGCTGTAGGATGGTGTCCTTGACAGCTGCAAAGACGAAACGGATGTTTTCTGTGTCTGTGGCACATGTGAAGTGGGAATAGATGATTTTGTCGCTGTCTGGATTTAAATCCACAAACATCTTGAGAATGAACTCACGGGCTGCCTGTGCATCCCTCTGTGGGCCTACAGCAAACAAAGAAACCAGTTAATGGATTTGTGCTAAGTGCATCTCCAGGTTTGATCCATCAGAGTAATTGCTAGTGCACTTTTCTTACGGCTTACAGAGCTATAAAGAAGAAATTATTTATTACAGAAACGTCCCAGGAGCTTACATTTCTTACATTTTTCAGTTATCTAACCAAAATTTCAAAAAGGCATTTTTTCAAGGCTGGGAGTTTTGACAGACACCAAGGTGGCACTTCAGACTGTGCTTTGAAACAGCATTTGGTGTCACCCTGTACCTGCTGCCTTCACTGGACAACAGTGACAGATGTGGGATACACATAACACAAGGCTCTGCTCTGGAGCTGGGATGTGTATTTCTTCCCAATACATGGATCTTATAAGGGACACAAGCCTATGTTTTGCAAACAAGGGTGATCTTCAGCCAACATTGCAGTCTGTCCTAACTGGCCCTAATTGTCAACTCACAGGAGCTAAAAACTGGATTTTTTGCCAGTATTTACTTCATCTTGCTGACAACTCCTCCGAAAAATGTCATCTACTGGTATTTCTTTCACAGTACTGGTGTTGTCACATTCTCCATGGCAAGGACCATTTCTTGAGAGGTGGTCTGATGGGCTACCTCCCACTCACAAGCTATGCAGCATCCCTGGAGGAGCTACAGTAAAGAATTATACAAAAAACCTGAAAGTATGTTACACCTCCTGATGTTGTGATCTTGTCTCCAGCTGGTAATTACATTAGAAATAAACACAATCTGACCAATAAGCTCACCAGTCATTCCCAGCCTGCTGTAAAAAGATGTTTTTCACCACTGACAATTTCAGAGTGCTTGTGCTTTCAGACAGCAGGGGGCATGAAGCTCCAGAAGTAGGAGGACAACTAATAAGAAGCAATTGCATTAGTCATTTAAAAGAAAGCTATTTGCAAAATGGCAATTCTTCCTTTATCTTGTATTTTTAAAGCACATGAGAGACTTAATACATGAGAGCATGGCAAGAAGTATTTCTGCATCTCACTCTCCACTACTCTTATTTATTTTCAGCCCTGTACAGATGTGTTACCAGCCAATTTTAAACGCACCCAACTGAAGAGTCTGAAATGCTAATTTGGCCAAGGAATTTTGTTTCAGATGGGATCTTCTCTGTTTCACACAGATACTATTTTTCCACAATCACAGAGGGCACACTGGTAAGAATTTCACGCCACCTGAGAATTTTCAGCACCATAATTTGAACAACTCAGGTATTTGACCAGTCAGTTTCTCAAAACAAGGATTTGTCACTTCTTGACTAGAGGGCTGAAATGCCCAATATAACACCCAAGTGACACGTTTATGAACTGGGTTATAAGCACAAGCACAAGGGCAGGGAAGTTGGACACCCATTATTTTATGCTTTGACGTGCATATTGGGGGAGGCGTAATTATTCATCTACGAAAGATGCTCCTTAAAAACCACTCACCATCAAACTCCGGGAAATAGTCAACAAGATGGGAATAGAGGATCTTGTCTTCCAACAGATCTTTCTTGTTGAGAAAGAGGATAACAGAAGAGTTTTGGAACCATGGATAAGTGATAATGGTCCGAAAGAGAGCTTTACTCTCCTCCATCCGGTTCTGAAATAAAAAAGAAAGATTTGTTTCCACAAATGAGCACTAAGATGCCTTCCTACTGCCCCCAATATACCCCAGTCTGTATCAGTCCAGCCTCTCTGACACTGTACACAGAATACTTTGGCCCCAGCTAGGTTCTGGCTCCAGCTGCACCAATAAATGGAAAGAAAATACAAAATCTGATGGACATAAGCTTCACTTAATTGGTGAGCCATTCACATCAAAGTACTTTAAAGTCTTTTTATGCTTTGATAGTCACATGAGAGAACTGGTCATGGTACTATGAGAATATGTTTTGTCTTGTAGAAAAGGAATAACTGCTGTTATCTAATGGCTTTTTTTTTAATCTGCTAGCAAGTGCAAAAACACAGTATTGCACCTTCAAAGAGACCAGTCCCTATCCAACAAGACAGCAGTCACAGCACAAAGTAATTGAAGTGGGGAAGAGAGGAATGGGTGATGTTTGAAGAGCATGCTGTCATTTTGCACAGTGCCTCTCAAGGCATGCAGGACACAGCAATCCCAGAGGATTTCAGCATTATGGAGAATCACAGATTATTTGAGTGCACTGTGCACTTCCCATTCCTAGGGCCATCATGACCCATGGAGGCTCATGTTCCCTTTGCAACAGGAAGAACTGAAGGCCAAAACCAACAATACTTGCTAATCCAACTTGGCACCACATGCTTTGGTACCAACCTCCAAGAAGCTGGAAAGACATCCTTCCTTTCCTTCCACCCTCTTGCAGAGTTCCCATTCTTTGGCTTACCTCGTTATCAGATTCCACCAGAACTTGGTCGTATTCACTAAGTGCTACTAAAAACATGATGGAGGTCACATTTTCAAAGCAATGGATCCACTTCCTTCGTTCTGATCTTTGACCTCCAACATCCACCATTCTAAGGAAGAGAAACATACACAGTATCACAGAGGGAGCTGTGGTCTCTACCCAAATGCAAAGGACCAGCACCCAAGGAGCACAAACACAGCCCTTTACCACTCAAGTTACCCTGGCATGGGGATCCAATCATACACAATTGCTAACAAAACCATCATATATAACTGGAAATATATGTAACTGAAGAGATGGTCACTGGTGAGTGATACCATTTCAACCCCCAAATAACAGCACTACCATTTTTGCATTCTGCTCTGGTTTGCTAAATAGCAACAAGACAAGTTCTTCCAACTCTGTTCTGTCAAATGAGCATTTTTTAAATAAAGCATCTGCTTGCCTCAAAACTTTTCTTGCACAGAAAACTTTCTTTAGTTATTAAACTTTTCTTAAGAATGTGCTGCCAAGCACTGCCCAGAGCAAGCTACCCCCTCTTCCCCTTGGTGGCTTATACTACCAACAGTTCACCCAGCTGCCTCACAAACCACTATTCCATTACAGGAGCGATTGTCAAAAGATACTTTGTAATATCACAGCACATACATCAAGCCTCTCCACTAAGCACCTGGACACAAAAGCAATCCACAACATCCAGAGAGTTGTGGTCAATGGCTCAATGTTCAAATGGAGGCAGGTGATGAGTAGTGTCCCTCAGGGGCCAGTACTGGGACCAGTGCTGTTAAATATCTTTGTTGGAGACATGGACAGTGAAATTGAGCGTATCCTCAGTAAGGTTGCTGATGATACCAAGCTGTGTGGTGTGGTTGACACCCAAGAGGGAAGGGATGCCATCCAGAGGGACCCTGACAGGCTGCAGAGTTGAGCTAGTACCAACCTTATGAAGTTCAACAAGGCCAAGTGCAGGGTCCTGCACCTGGGTCGGTGCAACCCCAGGCACAAATACAGGCTGGGGGAAGAATGGCAGGAGAGCAGGCCTGAGGGGAAGGACTTGGGGTGGTAGTTGATGAGAAGCTCGACATCAGCTGCCAGTGTGTGCTGGAGCCCAGAAAGCCAACTGTGTCCTGGGCTGCATCAAAAGAAGTGTGGCGAGCAGGGCCAGGGAGCTGATTCTGCCCCTCTGCTATGCTGAGTACTGTGTACAGTTCTGGTGCCCTCAGCACAATAAAGATTGTTGGAGAGGGTCCAGAGAAGGGCCACCAAGATGATCAAAGGCCTGAAGCAGCTCTGCTATGAAGAGAGGCTGAGAGACTTGGGGCTGTTCAGTCTGGAGAACAGAAGGCTCCAGGGAGACCTTTATAGCGGCCTTCCAGTACATGAAAGGAGCCTACAGGAAAGCTGGGGAGGGGCTTTTCATCAGAGAAGATAGGACAAGGGTCCTATGGTTTTAAACTAGAGAGGGGAGATTTAGGCTAGATATTAGGAAGAAATTCTTTACTATAAGGGTGGTGAGGAACTGGAATGGGTTGCCCAGGGAGGTTGCTGATGGCCCAACCCTGGAGGTTTTTAAGGCCAGGTTGGATGAGGTTTTGTGCAACTCGATCTAGTGGTAGGGTTCCCTGCTTATGGCAGGGGGGTTGGAACTTGACGATCTTTAAGGTCCCTTTCAAAACTTAATGATTCTATGATATTCCAGGAAATAATTTACTGGCAGGAAGATTCTATTCTATGAACTCATATTTCCTGAAACCATATCACTCCCCTCTCAGTTCAGCTGTAACATGAATATGCCTTCAGTACCTGAAGATAATATTCTCTAGGTCAAAGGGGTACTCTATGATACCAGTTGTAGGAACTCTAACCCGTAGCACATCTTGCTGAGTTGGTAGATATCCTGGGGTAGCGATACGATCCACGTCGCTAAGGTAGCTACAAGAAGCACAACGGAAAAAAACTACCTTAGATTGCAGCACATAAAGATACAGATTTAAACACTGCTATATTTAGTCTTCCTCTGGCGTAACAAGAAAGTCAGAAGCAAACTTAAACAGTTAAAATGTGATGTGGAAGAATAACAGAATACACCAGGTATCCCCCTTGGAGGATAAACAGATACATTAAGGACAACTCTTATCAACTCTGTACTGGTGTGGAAAACAATCTACTTCAGAGAAAGCTGAAGTACATTGGATGCTTATGTTTCAGAGTCAAGTCTCATCTGAGGTTTTCTATTTATAAATGAACCTATGTCACCAGACTCAGATTTTGTTAATAATAAACCCATTAAGTGACACATCATATTCACCTGTAGGCCAAAGGACAAACCTGAAGAGAAAGAGCAACACTTCTAGGAGTCAGGATGAACACAGGTGGCATAAGGCAGAGGTTCTGGCCTCAGATATACCCCAGAAGCAGATGTGTGAACAACTGTCTTTATCACCCACCAGAACACCTCATACCCTCATGAAAATTAGCAAATTATAAAGAATTTCCAGATCTACATCTATCCCCAAATAAACACAGTATCGCTCACCTCCAGCAAAGCTCCTTGCCTTTTTGGAGCCAGATTCAAACCAGTGACCAGTTACCTGCTCCACTGCTCTTTCATCTTAACTTCTATTAAGGATACTTCTGGCTGGCAACAGGCAAAGTGCCTCTCTTGTATCTCTGTGATTTTTATCTCAATACACATAGCCAGCAAGTCTCATCAGCCTCAATGAAAAAGCTAAAAGTTAATGTAAACAAACTATGTAATGAAATCTACAGCAATGCTCCTGGCCTTGAACAAACTCTAGATTTCAATTTAAAAAATGGACAGGTATTATTTATTAGAACATCACTACCACCTAGCAGGACATGCCAGTGATTATATACTTACTATTTAGCTGAGTCAGAAAGCTGATATTCTCTTCTCCTGTCATAACACTCTTGTATTCCAGGGTCGTTCCACAGTGTTTTAATTGCACTTACATATGGCTGCTCAAATGTCATAACCTTCTCTACATCCACTTCCCGGATCAGCACTGCATTGGCCTGGAGATTGAAAAGCAAAAAAAAACCACCCCAAAAAACAAACAAACAAAACAAAATGGAGGGGGAGAATTCAAGAGCAGGAGGGTGGTCCACAGACTTCCCAACTTCTGGGGAATCCCAACCTGCAACTATCTCAGATTTCTTACAAAAAGTTTTAAAATACATTTTGAACAGCAATAGAGACACTGTTTCAGCATTCTTAACCATGATCCCTTTGAGAGAGAAAACAAAAATGTCTACCCTACATTCTATAAGCAAAGGAAGGACTGCAGTCATTACAACAGCCTGTGGCAGCTGTGAGGTTATTATCCACAACAGACTGCTTTCTGAAATCTTTACTACATTTGCCACAGGAAGAGGCTTTTGCCTATACCACCTAGACCAGGAAAAATAAAAATAAACTCAAGTTCTGCACACTTTATTGTAAGTGAAAGTTGGCACATTATACCTATCAACACACCTCCACCACGCTCCAGTAAAGCAGGGGCATGGCAAGTTTCCTCACACCCTGCTTGTCCTCATCACTGAGGCTGCAGAACCATTCTAAGGGTAAAACAGGTGTTCACACTAAAGAACTCCTGGTGCACCATCCAGTCCCTATAAACAGTTACTAAAAATCAGCTCCGAGTTACTGTGTGACACAACTGATTAAATACAGTTTCACTTTAAAATATTAAGGCACAGAGCATTAAATCAAAATACTAAAAAAGTCTAAACAGCAACTTAGGAGTTAAACCCTAGAATCTGCATTGCCTAAAGATAGATGCAAAAACAGTGGGAAACTTACCTTGTTCTGTTCATATTTGTACAGAATCTTCAGGGTTTCCATTGCCCTGATCATAGACTGCATGGCAGTGAAGATGTTTTGGTACACCAGCTTGGTGAAGCCTTTTTTGTCCTCTTCAGAGTAGCCTGAGCCATGAATTATACGCATTTGCTTAATGAATGTGCTTTTCCCACTCTCCCCAGTGCCTACAGAATGAAAGAGAGAGAGTCAGGAGCCATCACAAGCAAGGTATGCCACAGAAGAAATCAAGTTAACCTCAACCACATCATACCCCACAGTTCCTATTACTATACCCAGGTGCACACTACTTCCAACCACTTTTTTAGTTGCTTTCCAGAATATTAAAAGACAGTCTATATGGTCCTGCTCATCCGCACTACGAACCTAACAGCACAGAAGGAAGACATCTTGTCCTTTACAGCAGCCTTCAGAAGTAGCTCTGGTACTTATTCCAAATCTCACATTACAGCCACTCCCACACGCTGCGTCAACAGGCCCTTGTCCACAGCCCCTTGCCCGTCACACCTGAGCTGTTCCCAGATATTCCAGTGAGATGTTACGACCGTGGCACCCGCGGAGAGGGCCCGGATGCACTCCCCAAGTTGGTAAGTGCTGCAAACTGGGATGATGGTGAGTGGGCTGGGGGGAGCCTGTCTGCATAGTAAAAAGCAAATTTTCTTTCGCTGCCATTGGGCAGAAAACGCTCTGCCTTATAGATCATGTGTCTTTTCACAGGGAAGAACTGAACACAATAGAAAAATCAACTCTAAAGAAAAATGGAGCTCAAGAAACCACTTGCTTATCCATCTGACACAAATAACCCAGTAGTGTGTCTGCCTAGTATTCCAAGCTGTTAATGCAAACATTTGCTCTTAAAGACTGAAATAATAATCATCACTGTGGCAAGACACCTCTACTGCTGCTTGTAGCCTTCAGGTATAAGAGAGTTAAAAATAGCAACTGAGGGAGAACAGGAGGATGTTGCTAGCAGCTGCCTGTGCTCAGCCTGGATCCCTAACAGGCAGCAGGCTGCTCAGCACAGCCACTGCTTCCTTGTGACACAGGTTTACAGCCCGGGAAGCTGGGTGGTGGAGCAGATGGGAGGGCAGGACAGGCTCGCACCAATGCCGGCGCCTCGAACCGTCCAGCCTGTCAGTGCCTGCTTCCTGCACCGTCAGCTGGGCAGGTCCTCCCACTCCTACTGGCCCCAGAAAAATGTCATTTAACATGTGAAGGCCAACAGACAATATATGAAGATGGTGGGAACTTTCTAACACAGTAAGTATGAGATAAAAACAACATCAGATAAATTATCCATGACCTTGTTAAATTCACAATTCAACCAGTATTACGGAAAGAACCCAGCAACTTCCATTCCACGTGTGCAGCAACTTTTGTGGAGGGGTCACACAGGTCAAGTCTTACATGTGATTAGCATACCTCCACACTTGACACTTCTGTTGAGTACTTCTGCTCAATCTTCTAAAAATTGCTATAGATATGCTGCATATATTTTTTAAAAAGACAGCTCTTTCCAATACAGTGGCCCAGCTCACTTGACTACTGAGAACAAAAGCTAAAATGTATGGCACAAGTGACAAATTCCTTTGATCTGCAGATAGGAATGAGCATGTTGGCAGAGCCCTGGCAGGAACCACCAGGTACTTGCCTCACACCAGGGCATAGACACAGGCAGGATCTCATTCATCACAATACACTACTCACACATAGATTCTCAGCTACTCATGTATATAGTGCCAGGTTAAACGGCAAACAAATAAATATGCTCAAATAAAAGCAGCAAGCACATAACTAGAAGCAGCATCTTTAAATAAACAAACTTTCCCGATCTCCAAGAACTGACTGAAATTGTGTCAGTATAGTTAGAAATTAACATTATAAACACCATTTACATGCAGCAAACTATCTCCATCTCAAACAGAAAGCTACACCATAAATGGAGGAGGGGAATTGGAAACTGAAATCTTCTGCGGTTTCTCTCACTGTGGTAAATACTTCCTTGTCTTTTACCACAGCAACCAAAACTGAAAGAAAGGAAAAAAAAAAAAAAAAGTGGTGCTTCAAAGGGTTCCAATAAAGAAAACATTGGAGAAACCTCAGCACCAGCCATTCACTTACTTCCGAACTTGAATTCAAACAAAGATTCTTCCTGTCACTCCATCATCACCCACTTTTTGGTTGTGGGGGCAGCTTTGTTTGATTTGGAGATGGGAGAGTTGTTTGTCTGCTTTTAAGGTGCCTCTTGCTTTTACCTAGGCCATTGATAATGCAGAACAGCACTACACCAGAATATTATGAGCTCTGGTGGGTATGCTCTCCTACATTTGTAAGAGCCCAATAAACTTTTTCAATATGACAGTGCTAAGACAGGAAGATAACCTGAAATCACCATTTCTTTTGCCAACACGTGAAAGCAGCAGAGTTCACAGTAAGTTACTAATGGCCCCAAGTACCTGAAAGGCACTTTTAAATACATTTCTCAGTCAACACTATCCCATGCTTAATCACAGGTCACTTTTGTTTAAAATATTCTCCTCCCTCCCTGCCCAGTAAAATGATTACTTTACACTAGAGGGCAATGCCCAATACCTTGAAATAAAATTTCTTATTATGAGGTTCATAATTGATGAGCACTGTTATTCTTCACCCCAATTTTCTGCTTTAGGCTTCAACAAATTAACAGTCACTAGATGTGACAACAAGAAAAATTACCAGTTTCTACTAGGCAAAAATTCCCTCTACACAGGCACTCTTCTAAAAATTCTGAAGGCTTAGGAAAGCCCTCTCACAAATACAACCACTAACATTTATGAACGTAAGAATGGCACATAATAGGAGCAAGACAGAAGAAATCCCTGCAAGCAGGAGTTGTGTCAAGGAGAGAGAACATACATTATCTGCCACAGATGAAGGTGGGCAATGTGGAATGCTGTATCCAGCAAAAAGCATCAAGCAAACACATCCTAAAACTGGAAGTGTTGCCTATCCAGTCTAACCACCTCACCTAGATTTTTGGGTTTTTGTGTTTTGTTTTTTTAAAATCTGATGCTGAATCTTACTTAACTGTGTATTTCAGAAAAGCAGAAAGGATTCTTGAGCAATCTGAATTATTTCTAAAGTGAAATCTTTAGATCCAGTGGGATCTTCTTAACCCAGATCTATTCTATAGTGCCAACCTATTTTGAAACAGCTGTTTCTGTGGGACTGCCTTCAGGAAGCAAGAGAGAGAGACACTGCCTGGTCTACAAGAAGCCTTACAGAAACCAACACAGCATCCTTAAAGAGCAGAAACATCAAGTCCTCGATTTTACCTTTCACTTGAAGAAGAGCAACATGTTAAATCACTGAGGACTAGTGGTGAGAAGGAAATCCCTGACCTTCACTTAATTATTACTGTGCAGCAATGTCAGAATTGGGGATCTCCAAAGGACCAGGCAGACCTGGCCTCACTTCACCTGTCTGAAATTTTCCTTTTTTTTTTTTTAGCAACAATCATCCTAATTCTTCACCTGTACCTAATGGCTTGCCAACTCACAACAGATCCCAAGTGAATAAGCTCAGTCCATCAGATCTGCCTCACATTTCAGCCTGAGATTACATGGTACTTAAGACACAAAGCAGGATGCATACACAAGCAATGATCAATCACAGTAGCCATGAAAACTGTAACTTAAGTTTAATTTGGGGGCTACCTGGATGCAAACATCCAACTTACTGCTGAAGAAATATGTGAATGCCTGTAATCATAGCTGGCTGCTCTTGTAACCGACTACTTATCCATATAAGTCTTATCTAAGCAAGGAATATTATCCATGTGCACAACCACAGAACAATACCACGTTTCCATCTGAACACCTACATCCTTATCGCGGCACCGGTGATCCCCACCTCTGAGGGTGACACTGAGCACTACAGCCATTTCCTCGTCACACGACTCCGCTTTCTTACCGCTCCTCTCCCCTCAGATTCGCTACACCAAGTTCCTAACCCCAACCCCCGCCCCCGCCGGAACTCTCTGGCTTGGGAGCTGGAGGCCGATTTCCCAGAAGTTCCCTGGCAATACTGAAAAGCATCAACTCCATCACTGAATTATCACACGCTAATAGAGGCCAGAGCGCCCTGGGAGCGCTTCCTCCAGACAAGGACCACGCGTGTGCGTGCCCGCATTCAGAACCAGCCGCCCCAGCTCCGCAGTTCCTGCTTATGTCAAAACCCATTCTGACAGAGAAGGAGCC